GACAGTGAGCTGCTTTATGGAGGTATCATGTCCTTAAATAGCCTGGTGATTATCTGTGTCCCTGGAGCACTGCTTTCTTCCCTGCTTTTCTAATACCCTGGCTTGTCCCTAATCACTGCAGAGTGTCACCAGTTTAGGAAAAAAAAATATAAAAAGGAAATTAATTTTGATTTCCTTTGACATCCCAGAGACTTTCCTTTCAGCTGGGATGGAGATCCAACTTTCTTTCCCACAATGACAAGATGGGGCAGTTCCCTGGGAACATGTGAATCCTGGCTTGATCACCCTTAAAAAGCAAATGCATTTTTTTATGTAACCAGTAATCTCTTGAGCATGCTATATAAATTACCTCAATTCTCATGAAATCTGTAAGGTAGGTTATTATTATCAGACTCATTGAATTTGAAGAACAGAGAGGCTAAATGACCTGCCCAAGATCACTCGCCTAGCTACTTGAGCAATAGAATGGGAATTTTAACCCAGCCAACGACTTCCAGGACCTAGGTTCTCAGTCAGTGGGTTATACTGCTCTCTTCAAAGGCTGTGTTCCATTGAGACACTTAGGTTGAGAGAATAAGGTAAATTGATTAAGAAATAAGGGACACAGAGGGCAAGAGATAAGATAAAGCATCCTCACCTTCCTTGTTTTTAGAGTGATGTGGTTAAGAAAACAAGAAGAGATTATTCTTGCATAAGAACAGGCAACAGGCAGTGTGAATAAGGAGCGCACAAGTGAAAAGTAAAGCATTTTACAAAGGAGGGCAGCTGGAAGTTTGCCTCGGCTCTAGTCATCACTGCCAAGATCCTCACAGAATAAATTCCCCAGTGAACATATCAACAAGGTAGGAAATGTCATAATTATATTTTTTATTATCCCCCAAAGAATACATTAGTATGGTAGATATGGCTATAATTTAAAAGAAAAGTGCTATGTAGCAAACATAACTGCTGATGAAATAAAACAAGCTGATTTTTCATCCTCTGGCATTAACAAAAAACAGAAAGATAAAAAAGGATTCTCATGTTATTTGGTGCTTGTTCTAAAGTGTGGTTGTAACTGGGCAACAACTATGGTGATAGTTTGCTCTGTGCTTTTTTTTTATGTTTTAGAATTTTGTTTTATTTTATTTTTTATCTTTATTGTTGAAAGTATTGTAGATGTTCCCTCCTCTTTCCTCCATTGACCCCTTCCTCCCTGCTCCCAACCCCCTCCTGCTTTCCCCAAACTATTGTCTGTGACCATTGGTTATGCATACTCTGTGCTTTTATTTGTTGAACAAACATGTATTCAGCATATTATGGACAATCTCCTGGAGGTCAGATTGGTAACAGTGAATGGTCCAAGAAATGAATTGGGCACCATCTCATACTAACTGATGGAGCAAAGGAAGCATTGTTGCTTGCCTGATGCAGAGTTGGCTCCTGCGGGGAGCTGACACTTGAGTCGGTACTTCTATGACTGTTATGGAATATTGATTTGATGAGGTCTCCTTCCTTGACCTCCAGTTTCTCTGAAGCTCTTGCCTGAGATGCTTGTTAGAGCTTGCACTTTCGCCAGTCTTGAATGGCTATCTAGAACTGTGGGAAGATAATGTCCTGTAGGGAAACCTTAGTCCAAAGAAACCATGAGTCAATGGCTAAATGCTTCTCTTTTGTCCCTTGGGTAGACAATTCTCAGACTTATTCTGTACATTTCCTCAGAAGATCAGACAATTCTGATACTCATTTTAGATAGGTCTTCATAAGATCCCAGTAGAATCAAGCACGGTTACCCATGGAGGTCTTCATCATAGATCTTTGTATTGACTTTCTCTTTTCTCCTGTTTTATTCTCTCTAGGCCTTTACTCCACTCTTGTCTCCTGGGATCATTTACAAAATAAACTACCTGAATGCAATTCCTTATTAAGTTTTCACTTTTATAGGGAACCCAGGCTAAGACAATGCCCAGTCATAAAAGGAGCGATATTTATGGGCTGAAGGATCATAGGGGGTGTTTGTGTGGAGATGGTATTGCTATTTAACATGTCTTTTTTTTTTTCCTCCACCAGATCCTTAAATCCTAGAATTCTGAATGACTTAGTCCTTAGCCCTCTTCTTATCTTTATCTACAATTTCTCCTTACATGATCTCTGGTTCTATGGTTTTAACTATGACCTCTATTTTGATCACTTCCCTAATTGTATCTTTAGTCCTGACCTCTTCCCTGAGTACCAGCATCATTTATTGAATTACCTACATATCATATCCATTTGGATATCTAAAGCCATCTTTCCCATCATCTATATAAAGTAAAACTCTTGTTTAGTTCTCAATAATGCCCTGTAAAAAAAATCCTGGTATATTTCCAATTTTCCTCATGGGACCCTCACCTTGAACCTATAATTCTAACAAATGAAATAAAGAAATCTGGATGTTCTTGATTTGGCCCTTTTCATATATTTCTCAGTAAGTTCTGTCAATTCCATCTCCATCTTCAGAATCAATCTCAAGTTCATCCACTTATTTCCACCTCCACTTCTATCACCCTTGTCTTAGGCAAAATCATCTTTTGACAAGATCACTGACAAAAGCCTTCTAAAATCAATCTCTATACTGCAGTCAAAATGTTTTAAACAAACACATATGCACTGCTTGCCTTTTAAAAAATTCCAATGGCTTTTTAAGGGACCTAGAAATAAAAGTCTACAACCTTCTCATGCTCTTATGCTTGTATAATCCAGGCCCTGCTTACATCAGATATAATTTTCTCCCTTGCTCCCTTAGACACCAGCCTAACTTTTCATTCAGTGGCAACTTTTCATTCTCCCAAAAGCCTAGGTTCTATCTCTCTTCAGGGTCTTCCATTTTCTGAACCTTCTGTCTTAATGGTTTTTTTTTCTTGCTTTTCATATGGCATACTCCTTCTTCTTTAGGCCTTGGTACAAAGATCTCTTCTTCTGGAGTCATTCTTATAGTGAGCGCCTGCTTAGAATAGTGCCCCCAACCTGGTCACTTTATTGCTTCCTGTTTATTTTCTTCATAATTCTCTTCATAAATTTATATTGCATATTGAGCCATTTTTATTTCCTTTTTATCTTCTCAACTAGAAGGTGAACTCTATGAGGGTAGGAATCTCAAAATGATCTGGCACATTTGTGGACTATATTAATGGGTAGGCTAATTATTTTGAGACATTCCTCTGGATGGGTGCACATAGGAATTTCTTCTTAGCTACACTGAGGCAAAGAGCCTGACGATCATTGTCTAATATTTCCTGTCTCAATAACCCATAAATCTCTGCATCTTGGGAACCTTAATGAGGTCAAGAGATGAGAGTAAACAATCTTTTTTTTTTTTTTTTTTGTAAAAACATGAAGATATTCTTATAAATCTTCATTTCTTATTTCCTTTGGTAGTCTTATTTTCAAGTGGGGAGAAAAACTGATGATTCATCCCATAGTAATCAAATTTATTGTGATCACTTGCATTTTCAATAGCTTTTTTCTAAGTAGGGTATTTGTGTCTAAGAAAACATGAGGTTTTTATAGAAAAGAAAAAGACTGCTTTTTAAAATAAAAATTGCTTGACTAACTTCTATTATAACTCTGCTACACACAGAATGAAATTCCCAGTAATTCTTCTTCTCTTTCAGCTATGCATAGATCCATTGTTTCAATCCCCTTCAAAGACATGCATACCAAAAACTTCCATGTCTTATAGTCTCAGATTCTTCTTTATTCTAGTTTCAGTTTTTATACCTGTTACATCAAGTGTGGTCCCCAGCTTTTTGATGAGTCAGCAAAGGCTGGAACTAGTTGCTGGTGGACTGGGGGCCTAGGGCCCTGTGCTCACCTTGGTACCCTTATTCTAAAGTTGGGTAATAAATGCCACTAGTGTCAAAGGGGTAAACTGTTTTTTGTTTTTTTTTAATGGTAGAAATAAAGATGAAACAAATCCAGTCTTGAGTTGATTAAAATATTAATGCCAATTACCTCTTATTATTTCTGAAAATATTTATAGACATTTATGTCTGTATATCAAGCCAACACTGAAGTCTTAGGCAATTTGTTTCTTAAAGCAATCTTGTACCTTTTCATAATTTAGGGTTTGTACACCCTGGATTTTACTAAGGAGAGGCATGAGGATATTATTTGTGATTTAGATCTGGTTTTTAATAACTACCATAGGCTTTGTTACCTTTAAACAAAAACAGCTGGTCTACAATACACACATTTGTTAATTATATCCCCAGTTTGCCAAAATGTTGTAAAAATAGTTTGATTTTATGTCTTGCACCTAATATTCCTTATTACTCTTTGAGCATTAGAATGACTTTGTGATTTTATAATACAGACATTTTCTGTAGTGTAACCTCAGGGAAAACTCATTACTTTCTTTTGCAATTACTTGATAGTTATGAAAAATACTTGCTCGGTGATCAGTCTCATTAATGGATCTTGTCTTTTTATTTTGAATTTTTTTTTCAATTACAGTTTATATTCTATACTATTTTGTACCAGTTTTTAGTGTATATCTTAGTGGTCAATCATTATACCCTGCAGAGTTCTCCCCCTGTTATTGCAAGCAACCACCTGTCTCCATATATAGTTACCACAATATCATTCACCATATTCCCTATGCTGTACTTTACATCCCTGTGACCATACTGTAACTGCCATTCTGTACTTCTCAATCCCTTCACCTTTTTCACCCATCCACCCAAGCCCTCTTCCCTCTGGTAACCATCAGTCTGTTCTCTGCATCTAAGAGTCTGTTTCTATTTTGTTATTTAGTGTCCACATCTAAGTGGAGTCATATGGTATTTGTCTTTCTCTGACCGACTTATTTCACTTAGCACAATACTCTCTAGGTAATAAATTTTGTCTTGACCGACTTGGAAAGAAGCAAGAAAATGGTTTGACATTTTTGATCAGTCAGGTGCTGTTCTTGATCACTCCGACTTCTGACCTCTTCGCCTTCTCCTGCCTGTGCTCTGTGCTTAATAATCTGATGCTCTTACCATCAGTGCAGAGGAGTCCAGACCTCCCGTATGGGCAGAGGCAGACCATGTCTGTCTGGGATTTAGGAACGCAGGTGGCACCGTTTCTACATGGGTTGTTTTCACAGGTTGCAAACTGGCACAGCTTGCCTGAGTACAGCCTTGGACACTCACAGAACCCGTTTTCACTGTCACTGAGGAGACAAAACGAATTATTAATCCAATCAGAAAACAATTGATCTTTTACATACATACACACACTCACGCATGCACACATACGTAAATAAAATTACAATTACCTCTTGTCTAGTAAGTGGAATTTTTCTTTCTCCTTTTCTCTTAAGTGGAACTTTTTCTTCTCTCTTTCTCTTTCTGTGTTAACTTTTAAGTATTTGTAGCTATGTATTTTTGCATTGAAAGCAGATTAACAGCTTTATAGATTGCCTGAAGCCATGAATTCTATTTTAAGCCACCTATTTTTATTTTTGATTTATCTCATCTTCTATTTCACACTAGGTACCTTCTCAGAGTTTCATTAAATATGTGTGGCATTGCCTCCATCAAGTGCTTCAAAAGTCTATTAGGAGAAAGCCGTCTTAAGCTCAAAGCTCAGAGAATTTCAAGCCTGGTGACAAGCATCCTCCACTGAGGACACTGTCCTCCAAGTGTGCCCTGGTGGTAATTTGGAAAGAAAAGCGTAGTGGGAGCTGTGATGACTATATAACTCTCTGGCTGACAACATAGGTTTGGCGGCCCCAAGTGAGTGCCCATGCCAACTGCACTTGAGAGAAATACTTTCACCTGCTAGGGCAGCATCTCCAGAGGGAAAGTGACTTGGAGTTTGTTGTTTTGCCTCCCTGAATCCATTCCCACTTTTTAAAGTAAAAGGAGCCTCAGTTTCCCATGCAGATCCACCCCTCCATCATTCTGAGCCTACACTGGCAGGAGGGGCGGACCCCGACTCTTGCTGTCAATCACAGTGATTATTGCAGGATAGACACAAAGACCTGGGGATGAACCGTAACCGAGGTACATGCCCTTGACCGGAATTGAACCTGCAACTCTGGTCTGTGTGCTGACGCTCTAACAGCTGAGCCAAACTGGCCAGGGCAACTTTTTTTTTTCTTTTTTAACTAGAGTTGCTGAACTGGTAGCTGCTGGTGGCATGTGCCTATTCAGAGGGGAGAGTCTGGCTGAGAGTCAATAACTAACACCAAGCAACACAAATATAAGAGGCTGGGGGAAATAGATAATTAATGATATTATTTAGGCACCAGATCTAACCATTACTCTGCAGTTATGTGAACCGACATATTTTATCCCCCCTTTTAGGTTTTTGAGCCAATTTGAGTTAGGATTTTGCTACTTGTTGTTAAATAAATTCCATTTAATATTAATCATCTTTGCCTTTCTTTTTCCCTTTCTTTTCATCACTTTAAGTTCACATATCTTCCCATATATGGATCTTTAGAGTTTTATTTTTTCCTGCTTACCTCTTATCTTCTAAATATGACTGTTAGCTCTTAAAGGTAGGTACCACACCATCCCGAGAATTAGAAAGCTAGTATGTCTCGTCTTTATGAGCCTCTCAGTCTAGTTGTAGATCTTGCTCAGACCAGTTTTCTCTTGTCCTTGTCATCATCCTGGTTTTTGGATGCCTTCCTTACATATTTTAATCCCCTTAGTCCAACATAAATTCTATCACAGGAAAGTCTCAGATTCTTTCAGACTAATGAATACATGACTTTGAAATCTGAAGAGGTTTCTTTTTCCATTTTTATGTTACTTTTCTGTGTTAATGGGAGGACTCACCATGGAGAAACTTGATGTATCTGATAGCAGGTAAAAGCTAGCTTTGGAGGGGTGTGAGGCTTTGGGACCCTCAGATTTTGCCGACGCAGAAGGTGATCCTGTAAATGGGCAGTAATTGACTCATTTTATAACTTTGATGACCACGTGCATAGAGCATAGTATACAGATACAGAATCTCATAGGGTTTTAGAGTTGGGAAAACAGTAAAGATCAATGTCACTGAGATGGTCATAAAGCGCCCTAGACAAGTTCTTTCTGGGCTACAGAACAGAATTTTGAGGACTGATGAGGCAATGCTGTTCCTTCTTGCCTGAGAATTGTGGTGAAAACGTACAACCAGGCCACCTGGCAGGTAGAGCGATACCTTCTGGTGTGACTTAAAGTGTTAGTTAGGAGCTTAATGTTATTTAGGGCCATGGAAAACCTAATGTAACTTCGCTTCCACTCACTTAACTTAAATTTGAAAGCTCCTGTTAAGCATCTGTACTCTGGGGAAAAGTCTAGGAGTGCAACACCCTTGAAAGCTGCATTTTGGAAGGACCAGATTAGTCTTTTCATAGTGAAGGAGAACGCCCCGTATATGAAAGTCAGACGAATCTAAATATTGACTGATTGAAGTGCTTTAATCATATAGACCTCTCCGTATTTGAAATGCAGGGAAGATGCTTTTCTGTTAAAAACCAAGGAAAGCACTAATTTTAATCACGTCCTATTGAATAAATCAAGCTTCATTTCCTTTTTGCTTCAATCAGGTGTTGCAAGAAGTCGGTGGCATCAGTTCATGCAGACATCACTAACTGCGCATGTCTGCACATCCGAGGGAAGTAGAGATTCTACAGAAACACTCCAAGAAAGAGGAAAATCACTGGATCTGGCCAACCAAGGGCAATTGCCCAAGCCCTCTGGCCCATCTTAGTATTGCCTTTCATTACAAGAGTCAGATTTAACCAATTGAGATTTTGCCAGACGATGGTGCCTCTGTACACTTACCTCACCTTGTACTTTTGAGTCCAAAAGATTTCCTGGAGTGCCAGATATTTTACCAATAGTTTTAATAACATCTGTTTGCCACCCACCAGCTGTGCAACACTTGGACCTAAAGGTTTCCCCTATTCAGATGTTACCAACGATCCTATTACTGAACCCCAGTTTCTTCACAAGCTAGTGAGCCAGCTGCTTCTGCTGTCATGTCACACATGTTGCTGCCTTGCCACACTCTGGAGCAACTGGAGGTGCCAGCCAGGACAGTGATGCCCTGAGGCCAGGAACTTGATGTAATGTCTCCTTTTGGAAAAAGTGATGAAACCATGTCACCTTCCTTCACTGCTGTGACTTTGTTAGGTGCTGTTTAATTAGTTATGGGAGAATATATTCCCATGCAATAAATACTTTTTCATATGAGAGAGCTTTAAAAAGCAAACCCTTCTCAGACTTATGCACCATTCAGAAAACTGTTTTGCAAATCTTCCTCTAGGCAAGTCAGGGCACTTTTCTGAATTCAAAGTGGGTCTGGGAAAGACCTCAGGTATTGGTGAAGTTTATGCTTGTACACCAGAACACCGTATTTGGTGTCAAGTGCTGTCAACTGATATCTGCTGTGGACAGACAGAGCCATGTGCCATAGGGTGTGTATGGCTTATCTTCGCTCTTGGTAGGGGAGACAACATATGTTCGTGAACTAATCTCTGTAAGGTACAACGTGTTATGTGAATTTATATGCATATTTAGACAGTGGTGAGGATTTTAAAGCCTTTTTAAAGCTGATCCTAAACTGGTGCCAGAGAGCATGTTCCATGGGGCTTTTAAAGGCAGATTCTTGAGCACCCCTTGTCCTCAGAGATTTTAATTTTGGAGATCTGGGGCCAGGTCTAAGATTTTGCATTTAAAAAACATCATCAGGTGATCCTTTTGCATAGCATACTTTGAGTTTAAACCAGCTCCCCTGAGATAAATTTCCTTACCAGAGTTAAAGCTTGATGGACATTAGCTACTATTGGGTCGTTAGCAGGATGTCAGGGCATTATAATTTTCTCTTTTTTAGGCTGCATTTTAAGTTTTGATTGACTTGTATCTGAAAACACAATACAAAGTTTTGAGGGATTTTATTTTATGAGCGCTATATATGGCCTATTGCATGTACATTGCACTTAACAATGCCATGAAGTAGGGAAAAATTCACTCAGTCATTTAAAAGCTTAGTTAAAAAAATACCAGCTAAGTATATGCAAACATCTGTATAATTGGGCACTGTAACTGCTACAGCATATTTGATTACAAGTCACAATATGGTTAGCATTTCTAATGACTGTCATTAAGTTTCTATGGGTATCGAAAATTATCTTTAGAACTTGAACTGTTTTAAAAAAAATCAAAGATATTAGTTTAAAAAGGATGGCCCCTATTTACATAACACAGCCAGATGCCTCAAAACCTTCTAGAACTAAAAGGACTTCTGCATGTATTAACTTAAGAAAATAAATAACTCTTCCAGCACTCTTTGTATCTAAGGATCATTAGCGGATTTCAAAGTTGGCCACCCACGGTGTCAAGAGAGGGAGCTTCCCGGCAGGAAAGTGTGCAGAATGAATCCTTGTGAATAATGTCTCTAGATACTTCTGAAAAATAAAATTACTACTGGCAGAAATAACCCATCTCTATGTATAGGCTTTTCTATTTATAGAACCACAGCACAGGCTAGGAGAGAATGCAAATGAGATCCCCAGTAGCTGTGGTTCAAGCGGAACTTTCATTCTGTTTTCATGAATTTCACACCACAGCAAGACTCTGCTGATGACAAGGCACTACCCGGCTCCCCCAAGCTGCCGTGATGCGCAGCTCCTTTCAAAATGAATTGTCAGCTATGTTGCAACCTGGTGCTCCAGCACCCCTGACCGCCTTCCTTCGTCTCTGAGACAGTCCCTCTAAGGGGGTTACTTCCCATAGTGAGGCACGCCATCATCTTTAACATTTTTCTTTTTTTTTTTAAAGTAGCCACAGGTGAAAATAATAATAATAAAAAAGATGCAAAACCTAAATTATCTTTCAGTGGCCCAGAAAATGAACTTGGAGAATACAGTCCATGTAATATACCCGTGAACAGAGAGCTCAGCGAAAATGTCCTTCTTCAGAAGCTTTTTTCTTTCTAGATTTCACTTAAGGTAGACACAGAGAAGATGAAAAAGGATAAGAGCAATAATAAAAGCCGTAGAATCACACATAAAGAAAGACTACATAAAGCGAGTAATTCTCAAACAATATGAACATATTTTTGTTTCTTCTTGTTCTAGGGTCTGTTCAATTTAATCTCATGGGTGTTTTATAAAGAAAAATCAAATTTATGTTATAGTCTCTCTCTCCCCTGTCTCCCTCCTTCTCTCTTCTT